CTTGGCTACCGCAGCCCCCCAGACGCGGGTCCTGACCCAGCAGCAGGCCATCGCCTCGGCCCTCGCCCTCTACAACCAGCAGAGACCCTCGGAGTGGGCCTTCCGCCTGCTGGAGGCCGAGCCCCAGCCGGACTGGGTGAGCCTGGGGGGGCTGGGGGGGTCTTGGCCCCAGGGGGAGGGGGGCTTCTGCTCCCCCCCAACCGTCGGGTTTCCCCTGCCCTGTTTTCTTTCCTTTCCTTTCCCTTCCTTTCTTCCCCTCTGTTCTTTTTTCTTTTCCTTCCCTTCTTTTTCCCTTTCTCTTTCTCCTTTCCTTTCCCCTTCCCTTCTCCCCTTATTCCTTCCTTCCCTTTCTTTTCCTTTCCTTTCCTTCCCTCCCTCTTTCCTTCCCTTCCCTTTCTCTTTCCTCTTTTTCCCTTCCCTTCCCCTTCCTTCCCCTCTGTTCTTTTTTCTTTTCCTTCCCTTCCCCTTTTCCTTTCTTTCTCCTTTCCTTTCCGATTCCCCTGTTTTTTTCCCTTTCCTTTCCTTTCTTTCCTCTCTTCTCTTCTACTTTCCTTTCCTTCCCCTTCTCTTCTTTTTCTTTCTCCTTTCCCCTTCCCTTCTTATTCCTTCTTTCCTTCCCTTTCTTTCCCTTTCCTTCCTTTCCCTTTCCTTCTCCTTTTTCCCCTTTCCCTTCCCTTTTTTCCTTTTTCTCTTTCTCCTTTTCTTTCCACTTCTCTTCTCTTCTTTTTCCTTCCTTCCCTTCCCTTTTGTTTTTGCTTTTCCCTTCCCTTCCCTTTCCCTTCTCTTCCATTGTCTTCTCCTTTCCTTTTCCTTCTCTTCTTTCTCTCTTTCTTTTTCTCTTTCTCCTTTCCTTCCCACTTCCCTTCCCTTCTCTTTCTTTTTCTCTTTCTCCTTTCCTTCCCACTTCCCTTCCCTTCTCTTTCTTTCCCTTCCTGGAAAGTGTTTTGCGTTACCTGCAGCAACTCGCGTCCTTTCCCGGGAAACCCACATTGTGCTGAGAAAGCTGGCTTGTTGGGAGGAAGGAAGGAAGGTTGAAACTCTCTGCTGGGACTTCCCTTGTCTCAATGGAGCTTTTGTCGGTTGGGGGAAATTTCTCCGGGGGGTTGAATGTTGTCTCCTCTTCCCTTTTCCCCCTCCGCTTCCCGCAGGACCCGGCAAGCCCAAGCCCGCAGGGGCTGAAGTTCTCCATCAAGGAGACGGTGTGTCCCTCCGCGCAGACCCACAACCTGACCCAGTGCGACTACAAGGAAGACGGGGTGAGCTTCCCCCTCCCACCCTGGGCTTTCCCCACGGCCGGTTGGGCTTCCTGGGGGTTGGGGGGGCGTCCTGGGCCCTGCAAGGTTAGAAGGGGGTCTGGGGGGGTCTCCAGCTGGACCCCTCTGGGGTTCCTGTCTGTGGTCCACCTGCACATTTCACTCCAGTTTTGCTCACCACCACGTCAAACAAGAGGTTGGGACTCTGGA